GGGGGGGGCGTGGTTGGTGTGGTACGGATGCGAAAGTAGTGGGAGCTCTCTTCAATTCTTTTTTTTGCTTTGCTTTTTTGCTTCCTTCCGGCCCCCCACAGCGGCTGTGCCGTGCCCAGAGGACCCGACCGCCACGCTGCCATTGAGAGAGATGTGCTCGATGGGACGTGTGAGACCTGAGGTGACGGTCATGCGGCTCTTGCTTTCCGGGGTTGAGCGGCTTTTTGCATGATGGTTCTTCTTCTGTTGGCGGATGACGGCCGAGTGGCTCTTCCATTCGATTGGTGTTGAGAGGTTTTCTGCATGACGATTCCGCTTCTGTTGATGGATGACAGCCATGCGACTCTTCTCTTTCGTTGGTGTTGAGATGCTCTCTGCATAACGGTCCCTCGTTTGTGAGAGCATGACAGCGCTACTACCACTGCCTAGGATAGACTTCTGTACTTCCTGTTCTTGCACAGTCCGGAAAAAGTGAATTGGCTCTCGGGTTTGCCGTCTCTGATTGGACAAAAGAGCTTATGCGAGCACTTAGGTTCTGTTCAGCGATCAAAATGGCAAGGTCGTCCCGTACAACACCGGTACGCTGACCGATCTGACTAAGAAGTATAAATGGGCTAGGCTATGGGCTGCTCGTTCCCGTTATCGACTTTGTCTGTTCAGAAATCGTTGGCGAAGAAGGTATCCAATTGGAATGGCTATACGACGATATGAGATTATGGTTAGCTGAGAAGCGATTCTTAAAGTTTGATTGGCTATAGTAGGCTTCCGTTATACGCTTGGGTGTAGTTGACTGAGCCACAGCGTCATAGCTAATGGCCAAACCTGAAGCTTGTTGAGCACACGGCATTGAGGAAGCAATTTCGACCAAAGTTTAATGTCGGGGAGCCTGAGGATTGCATATGACAGAAGCATTGGCATCCGCTTCTCACATGACGATGCTGCTCGCACTCTTAATGTTGAGGCGGCTGGACCCCTCTTTTCTCCATATCTATCGCATCCATCTGGAAAGGAATGGAAGGTTGATGTTCGGTACGGCGCGGAAGATCCCAACACATAACTGGCTGCCGGCAGCATCCGCGGGATAGCCACGCGAGCGGTTGGCCCACAGCGTGCATGGAAAGGCCAGAATCTCACCAAGAGGCCAATGACGGGATTTCTGGGGCAAGGGCGGGTGAGATTTGTTGGCCGCGCAGCGTGCAGCGGCTGCATGGGCGGTAAACAGGAAGATCAGCCAGCTCAGTTCCCAGATCCGGGGAAGTCGCTGGAGTCGTTCACCGTCGCACGCAGACGTCCAGCGGGCGCACGCTCGTGACAGTTGCTTGTCCGGCCGGCGTCAACAAGCCAGCGGGCGGCTCCAGGTGCGGTGACCTGGGTGTGGAGAGCAGGCGCACCGACGTGGGCATTCCAATAGAAACGATCTTCTAGGGCTGGCGGCGATTGTTGCCGTGGACGGATAGGCGGATCCCACCTCTCTCCACCAGCGTGGCCGACCAGCCGTGCGCAGAGGCCGGCCGGGCCTCAGGTGGGCAGGGTTTGGATGGATACGGCGCACGTCAGCGGCCACCACCTCGGCCCTGACGATGGAAGGGCGCACTCGGGCGAGCTGGGCGAAGGGCTGCGATCGCGCACGGGTGTTTTCCTCCGGCGTCCGTCTCGCATGGCACCCCGGGGCGGCGGACGGCAGCACGGGAGCGGTGTCGCAGAGGCGCTGGTGCGGGGGTGCTCTCGTCATATGTGCCGTCACGAGCAGGCATGACTGGCGGAGAAGGGTTTTCACGAGGTTCGCGGCGTCGCAGAGTGTGGCAGCGCGCGCAGAGTCGCATCCGCCCTGGGCTTTCGTGTCCGTTTTTAGAGTGGCTAATCACGGCGCCCGCCAAGCTAGTGCGCCTGCCGGGGGGCGCTCAACCGCGCGGGAGCAGGCAGGAGCAGGCAGGCAGGAGCAGGCAGGCAGGAGCTCTCTCCCACTGCCTGCCTCACGTGCGGAGAAGCGAGATTGCGACCGCGTCGACCGGCGCTGCGCACGCACGATACGCACGATACTCCACGCAACCGGCAGCGCGATTGAATACCACGGCCACGTCCGCCAGTTGCGCGACAGCTGGGCAGCGATTGCGCAGATCGCAGTTTGCCGGGCGGGCCTCAGCCTCCAGCGGCGCGCTAGGCCCGCTGGGCCAGGACGTCTATCGCCGGCGAATCAAGGGCCCCTTGGCTGCGGCGGGCTCCTGCGGCGGGCTCTGTAGCGGCTGACGGCGTGCTAAAAGCGATGAGAGGCAGCGCTGAGGAAACGGGCGGCTCTGTACTTATCTGGCAGCTGTCTCACCTCGCTCGCACGCACGCACGCACACACTGCTCCCCGCCTAGCCACTCGCCGCCAGGACCCCCGTCCGCGCATATCGTTTAGCAGCACGCAAAATTGCCGGCATCCCGATCGAGTATAACGCCGTCGTCACGAAACAGGACGGCGCTTCTGGCCGACACTTCCAAGCATCGCGCCCAGCCTGCCGCTCTCGCCCTGCTCCTCCCGCTCCTCAGGCCCCAATCCGCGCAGCCTACGGTCCTGCAGCGACCAACACCTCGTCCGCCAGCCATCACCCGCCCGAGCGCAGCATACCGAGTCTCCTTTCTTCGTGTACATACCTAATTCTCGCGCCCCTTCATTCCATTCCACATGCTCATGCGACTCCACCGGCCGTGAGCTGCACCGACTTCTACCCCCGTAGCTGGCCCAATCCGCCTCTCTCCACGCCCGTCCGCAACCATGACCACCCGTAAGACCTCCTCCCCTGCTCTTGTGCCACTGCATCCGCTCATCACCCCTCCCCAGCTAACATAGCGACGCCCTCGTCCGTCGTGGCGAGCGACCCCGTCTCGTCGGCCATCGCATCGGCGACGTCGGACATCTCCTCCATCGTTTCCTCCGTCACGTCGTCCGTTGTTCCGTCGTCGTCGTCGGCGGTTAGTAGCACCTCTCCTTCTCTGTCCTCTTCGGCTGCTGCTGCTACAAGCAGTGCTCCCAGCAGTACTGCAAGCAGCGCAACAAGCAGCGATTCCTCCTCCTCCCTAGAACCTTCCTCATCAGAGGCGCAGACTTCCTCCGCTGTCCCGAGTTCGTCTGAGGCCACAACGAGCTCTTCGGCCCCTGCGACTACAGCTCAGTCCTCCACCACTACTTCGGCTCCCGCTTCTTCCACCACCGAGGCTGCAGCGACGACGAGCGCCTCTGCCGAATCTTCTGCCACCTCGGCATCATCCGAATCCTCGGAGTCCTCTTCGCAAACCACGACGAGATCCCCGAGCACGACTGTATACACATCCGTAGTTACGAAGTCTGCCAGCGGCACTGGTACTAACACTGGCCCTGTCGTCGTTACCGTCACCGCCACAAGCGTTTCCGACCCCTCTGGCACCTCTGGCAGCGACTCGGCTGCCGCGACCAGCTCCGAAGGTGCATCCCTCCAGTCCAGCAGCAATGGGTCTGATGACAGCGGTGGCCTCTCGACGGGTGGAAAGACGGCGGTTGCTGTTGTCGTTCCGGTAGTTGTCGTTGCTTTGCTCGTTGCGGCCGGCATCTTTTTCTGGAGGAAGCGCAAGCAAAGGAAGATTGCCGAGGAGGACCGGAGGAAGGAGGTCGAGGAGTATGGCTTCAACCCGAACCACGATCCCACGCTGCCGGCTGTCGGAGGCTTCGGCGGAGAACAGATGGCGGAGGATTCCAGCGGCTACCGTGGCTGGGGCAACACCACCACCGCGTCCACCAACCGCAAGGCTTCCACGACCATTTCCGGCGGATTGACTGCCTTCTCGGACACGGGCAGCCAGCCCGGAGGCTACCACAGCCCTGGCTCACCTACGAATCCCAGCAATGCGGATTCTGGAGATCCATTGATGCATCGCCGAGAGACGATGGATTCGGAAGGCATTGGAGCGCTGGGCGGAGCACCCGTCACCAACAAGCGCGCGTCGGACATTCACCGTGGGCCTTCCAACGCCTCGTCGTCCTACTCGGGCGCAGGGCGATCAGACAGCTCGGACAATGGTCACATGCAGATGAACAATCCGCAGGACTACTATGCCGACAACGGTTACTACCAAGCATACAATCCGCAATTCGATGGCCAACCCATCGTGCAGAATGTAGCGGCCAGACGGAACACGCGGATCGAGAACCCAGCGCACTACCCTCCGGCAGGCAACTCGGGCATTGCGCAAAACTTCTGATCTGGGATACCCTTTTTGTGTGATTTCTGTTCGTTCGTTGGTTCTTTCGCAACCATCTGTTTCTACTACCCAACCCCGTCGCGGGTTCACGGCGTTAACATTTGCTCACTATCTTGTTCGTGGGCTGGGATCGTTTTGTCAACTCCCAGCGTCGCTCGTCGTTGTGCATGAACTGCTACAGGTCCCGAACCATCATAAAAGGCGCATACCGCAGTCGTACACACCCTTCCACTTTGCTGTTCAGTTTTCAGGCGGAAATATCGATTGTACTCGCTACTCTTTGCTTTTTGGACTTTTCATCTCCCTTTTCTGTTGCTCGTTACCCATCATCTCTTTTTTTTTTGAACTACTACATCTTACCTAATGCTGCCGCCGACACATACGCCAAACACCGATTCATTCTCGCTTTTTTACAATCTTTACACCACACTATCGACAAACACAATCCACGCGCCCAGTTGGATTGGACATCTAGGCTGCTGGCCATTTGTACGAGTCGCTCTTCTACTGTCCTGACCGGGAACGAGTTGAAAGGGCTGCACGCGAGCGCGAGAACAGGGGAAGGGAGGAGCAGTTGTTTTATGGGCCGTTTTTGAATGAATGCAGGGGCGTGGAGGGGGAAATGTGAACGACGACTGAACAAAAATGGCCAAACCACATAGAGGAGCGAAAGCAAACATGAACAAGATCTATTTATTTGTTATTGCAAAACCACAAGCCCAACTCTTTACCGTTGTCTGTTGGTTTTTTTCCTTTTTCGATTGACGGCGTCCATTGAGGTATCTTTCTCTTTGCGTTGACTCTCTCGCGCTACTGCTCTCACTCACTCTCGTATGCTTTTCGCCGTGCAAACCTGGTAGTATGATGACAACGACGAACCCCACACAGACCGATGTCATCACACAAGCGATTGACGCAATCGCAATCGCCAGGCCAGGGTCTCTCGTCTCCTCACTTTTTTTTCCTTGGATCTTCCAACCGGTCAACATAGTTAATCACACACACACACAGTAAGGATCTCTCTCTCGCCTCACTCGCTTCCACCCGAAGGCGACGACCAGGGAAGTCGGTGCGAATAGCGAACATCTTGTTTTTTTCTTTCCCTTTCCCCCATGACATGCATTATTACCGTTTCCAAAAGTCTCACAACTTCAACAACCCGTGTCTTTGCGTACGTAAAAACCCGTGCCACACCCTGAAATACGAAAACAACCGGGTGACGTCAATCGAATGATGAGAAGCGTCTCGACTCTCGAGAGTCGAGAGTCGAGACGTGTCACCCTGGTTTATTTTTGGGGGGCTGTTGCGGACGTTTGCCTCGTTTGGGGTTGATTGGCATGGGACCGGGGTCTTGTGGGGAATGCCTCGCCCCCCCGTTGTGGGGAGGGATGGGCCCTGCTTGCTTTGTGTGTCGCAGCGTCATACCTATCTATCGTCGGGCGGGTCGTTTGGCCGAGACCTTTTTTTTTTTTTTTTTCGTTCTCTTCTTTCTGGTGATCGGGCCGGCGAAGGGGAGTCGAGTCGAAGGCAGGTCAAGTCGAGTCAGTTGGCGTTGGGTGGTTTTGCTCTCTCTCTCTCTCCGCAACTCTCTCGTTGATGCGCGGTTGCATGGCCTTTTTTCATATGGGAGCCACGCTTTCCTTGATTTCCTTTTTTCTCTTCTCCCCTTTCCTCATCAACGATCTTTCGATACCACAGTTGGTGGCAGCAGTCCTACGGCGCACACCTGCCTCCATATAATCTTTCCAGACGCCATCACTCCGCAGCTGCTCTTCTTCCTATACCTATATATTCCCATGACCATAACCTGCCTTTTTGCTCCCCAAACCGTCGTCAACAAGCTTTCCTATCTCTTTCCCCCCGCCCTCTTTCCCCGGCGCCCCAGGGCCCCCTTTGCACCAAACCAAAAACCAAAACAAAACCTTAAATCATGTCACAACAGCACCGCCACCGCCGGCGGCGGCCGGCGGAGGGAGCGGGTGATGAGGATGAGGACGATAGGGCGCGGGAGACGGGGCGGTGCTGCGTGACGACGACGACGACGACGACGACGACGATAATGACGGCGGCGACCCCCTCCGCCTTCGGATCGGCGATAAAGTCTTCGTCAAACTCCATCACGGGTACAAGACCCTGGGACACGCGAATAGAATGTTCTCTTTCCAGAGGGTGGGTCCTTTTCCCATCAAAGCCAAAGTCGGAAATCCACCCCGTAATCTCCATCGCACACCTCGAGCCGGCCCCAAGGGATCCTGATCCCTACGGTCGGAACGCCTATCCAGAGCCCGGTCCCGTCGCGGAATGGGACGAAGAGGACCCTCCTTACGAAATCTCAACCCTCCTTGACCGTCGCGAGGCGCAGATACATGGTAAGACGGTCCGGAAGTACTTGGTATAGTAGAAGGGCTGGGGCCCTGCCTATAACTGTTGGCTCACGGAAGAGGCTCTGTATGGTGCGAAGGAACTCGTTGTGGAATACGACGAGAAGCACCTACGGTAGGCGGCTTAGACCTCGCGCAGGAGGAGAGGCCGCTCTGACTGACATTATCCTCGACAAGCCCCCCATTTGGTAAGGGAGACCCGGAATGACTGGTGAGAGCCATTTCCAGGAAGGTGATCCAATTAGTATCCATAGCCACGTCTCTCTTTCCTGTTCGCTTCCTTTTGTTTTCCCTTTGTATCCCGGCGGGACGTGTCTTTTCCATTCTGTCTCCCATGTTCCAGACGTTTGCTTCTGGCGTCTTTGCCTGTATTCCCTGCATGACCGGCGTGCAACGACCGCCACAAACCACCCCCCCTTCCACTAAGCCCTCCAAAACACCCTCCCCCTTCACTACCTGACGAAACGCAGTGAGTAACGCCGAGCACGGCTCTTCCAACGATACTGGTACGGGTAGTCTCATGTAGCTGTAGTACGGCTCTTGCACTCGCATCAGGAGCAGAGAGGGGATGTGTGGGCTTACCATAGCAGCAGGGTACAACTAACGCTCGATGAATGAATGCTTCAGCTCCGCATGGCATTCGTATGACAGATTTCATGTGGAGCGTTGAGACCAAGTGACGCGTCTCAGACGCCGCTCGCTCTAGAGGGACTCAAGTGGCATTTTTAGCACAAGAGGACGGCCTCGAGATGGTCTGGAGCCAATGATAGAACAAGCAAACATGGTAACGAATGCATCGCGCCTTAAGCATTGCGAGTCATACGTGCTATCGTCCAACTTTAAGCGGTGATAACTTATAACACCTAGGAAAACAAGAAGAAAGGGATAACAAGGGGACAAACAAGAAGGAACATCCAATCTAATGCGTTCTTTGGGGGAATATGAGAGAGCCGCCTACCATACCGCCAATGCAAGTCCTTGTCTCACCACAAATGCATAAATCATGACCCAGCCGGGAAGAGAGAAGAAGAGAGAGAGAAGTAATAGGGTAAGACGGTGGGAAAGGTATGATTTTTGTGCCCGACGTTAACGCAAGCTCAAGAGAGAAGCAGGAGAAAGAAGGAAACCAACCAAAGCAAGAAACAGATAAGAATGACCTTCTATATCCTCGGATGTACTAAATGACTACAGAAAGCCTTCTCCCAAAACATGCGTCCCTTGAAACAACTCTTGGAAGACTTTCTATCCTAGATATCGATGGTTTCGTTGAAGTGGAGGACGCCTTCACGGTTAAAGTACCCATCAATGCGATCGGATGAAGGCTGGTCCGGCAAGGATGATTGCTGTGTGGACAGATCCGTGATGAGAACGAGACCGGCTGTCTTTACCGACTCGATGAGTGCAGGCGCAAGATTCTGTTTTTTGATCTGTAAGCGCTAGATAAATCAAGGCAAAATGCATGATACATACCAACAAGCGTGAGCTGCAAATCAGACCCATCAAGTTGTTGTTCTGCGCCACCTGCACAGCCTCCTTCACCGAGATTGTTGTGCGGCCGCTGCTGTGCACCTTCTGCCGGTCGGCTGCAGCTTCGATCGGGTCTGCGCCAAGCTCGTTCCCGAGAAGGACGGGGTCTATCGGCACATTAGCGTTGGTCAATCTTTCTGGACGGAGCATTACGAACAGTTGGGCTGCTTCCAGTTCAATGCCGTACACATGTCCGCGTTGAAACTGGAGAAAACAATCGACCTCGCTGCCGCTCCGGCTTGCTCGCGCAGATTACGAGCGTCATGGAACACAATGTTCAAAAGCGTGTCTGCGAAAGTATTGATGTTCGGCGTGGGCCCGAGCCTCAGTGTCTCTTCCTCGACGCGATTGGGATACAGTATGTGTAGCTCGATGCGAACATCGACGGGCAAGCGGTTGATGGCGTCCTTCAAACTGACGTATGAGTTTGCGAGAATCTGATGAATGGTCGGAACTATAGGCTGTTAGATGGCCAGATTGTGAGCAGAGTGCCGAGCGCTTACTGTCATGGGCTGGAGTGCTCGCCAAAGCAGCCAGCGCAGACTCTCCACCGCCGTTCTCGGCGCCGATATAGAGGAACTCTTCAGACGTCAAACGCGAGACGGGTATGCCAAGCCTGCCATACTTCACCTTCCATTGCGGGCACAGGACTGGCACACCGTCGCAGGTCATCTGTACGAAGAGCCTCACGTAGTCGCCTGACAAACTGGATCCGGTAATCAGAGCGCTTGGTGACTCGTCGAGCTGGCTGGTAGCTTTCCAGTACGTGGCAAAGTGAGTGATCTCTAGCGGGGGCCCTGGGAAGGGAGTGACAATGTTGAACTGGAATTTGATACGGCCGATTGTCCGTAGTCTTGGGTCAAATAGACCGAGATTACAGAAACCTGAGCTGGATTCCCTGTTTCTAAAGACCGTGGACGAAGCTTCAGTTCTAGCGATGACCTTGGCTCCGAAGGTTGGGTAGACATCGAAATCGATGCTGAAAATGTCGAGATTGTCGACCTGGAAGGAGATGACCTTGTTTTCTTCTGACATCGGGAGTGTGATGTTTCGCGGGATCAAATCCGAGGATTTCGATGCGATGGTCAGGCGCGCAGCAGGATATTTGCTGTCCTCATAGAACCGTATAGGCTCTGAATCCAAAGCGCCGAAGTTGATGACGACAAAGGTCTTGTTCTCAAGGAAGTTGTGGCCGTATCTCCTGATGGGGATGATGGGAGGAGGCAGAGATAGATCGGGAATCCCATCCACTTCCATTGCCATAGGTTGTGGAGTGCTGGATGGCGGAGGACCAGCAGAGAGCATCGGAGGCTCCGGTACAGCTGGGGGCGGCATTGGAGCATCCTGGGAAACAGTCGCCAGTAGTTTCATGCATTCCAGATGGCCTTCCCACGTAGCATAGTACATTACTGTGAGGCCCTTTTCATCCTTGACATGCACGCTGACGCCACAGTCCAAAAGTGTTTTCAAACAAACCACATGCCCCTCGCTTGCTGCATGGAACAACGGTGTCCACTGGTAAAGTTTGTCAGGCTGGTCCAGGTTTACCCCGTAATCTCTAAGTAGCAAGCATATGCGCGGGTTCTTGCCGGACCGTGCCACCAGATGTTGGGGATACAAGCCCTCGGCATCAGGCAGAATCTGCGGATTCGCCTGCAACAGAAGCTCGACTATGGGCTGCAGTCCATGTTGGCAGGCAAGATTGAGGGGAATGTGATCCGACTCTCCGGTAGGATCGATTCGGGCATTATGTTGGAGCAAGCTCTGGACGCAAGAAAGGTGGTTGTGGACAATGCTGTGGATTAAAGGCGTGAAGCCATCGTGATCCTTGAAATCGACCGTATCTGGCGCCGTGGTGACAAGGTCTTGGATCATGCCGACATGGCCGTGCATGCAGGCGTAATGGAGAGGAATCCTGCCGTACACGTCGGATGCCCTGACATCGGCATTGCCTCCAAGCCCGATCTTCAGGACTAGCGACCGACCCGAGATGGCCGCCTTATGCAGGCAATTCCTTGCGTTGACATCGTCGCCTTGATCAAGATCAACGAGGTTGGTGTCAAGCATGACCTTCAAGGCACTCTCCGGCGCATCGTAGGCGGTAGCAAGGAATGCCTTGGTGATGCGATCTCTTGCATCGGGCAAGACAACAACGCGGCTGATCCACTCCTCGACACCTGAAATATTGCCAGATGTGATGGTCTGCAGGATTTGAGGATCGGCATCGGTGTCGGCATCATGTAACCTGTTGGGGAACTCGGAAGGTACCGATGTGGTGTACTGCATCTGCTCACCCTCGGCCCAGGCGGCGAAGTCCAGGAGGCTGGTGGTCGCCTGGTCGGAGAGATCGCTGATGACCTCTCTGTTGAAACATGGCTGCACCTCAACAGCGCGCGAGATGTAAAGCTCTTTCGTACGGGACTTGGCTGAGTTAGTCTAGTGAGAAGGGAAAAGAATGTGAGAGCGAACCTTTGATGTTTTGTCCCACTACAAAGCGGTTAGTAAAGTCTTGATAGTGATGACGCGGCCCATCGAAATTGCATCAGCCGGACGCAGAGGAGAGGGCTCGCACCTTCTTGAGGATTTTGGAGAAGGCAGTGGCGTTGATTTCGACGAACTGCTGCAGCTTGTTGAGATCATTGCTGAAAAGACGGAAGGCCTCCTCCAGGATGACGTATTTGGAGGAGAGCTTGGAGATGGGGATGGGCTGCGACTGGAGCGACCGCTTCTTCTCCAGCAGGGTGCTCAGACGCAACTTCAACTCGGCTTCCTTCTGCAGGTAAAGCTTGTTGACCTTTTCAAGCTCTCGCTCAAGCCGAAAGAAGAAAGTGGCCTTGTTGGCCTGGAGAGAGGTCTGCGGATCACCCTGACTAGGCTCGTTTTGGGCATAGATCACAGGAGTGGCGCTCAACTTCTTGATGAGCTGGAGAGCAGGTCAGATGGCGAAGAGGGCAGGCGGGTGGACGGGCGGAACAAACCTTCTTGAGGGCCTTGTAATCGACAAAGCTCGCGGCGTACTCGGGAAAGTCGAGCTGTCGCTTCTGGATGTGCTTGCCGAACTTCCTGGACAGGGCAGCGAATCAGCGCCATGCCGCATCGGGGCAGATACGGGATCGATGGTAGTCGGCAGCGGTCGTGCGTGGGCGGAGAGGACGACGACTCACATGGTGCACGAAGATCAGGCTGGAATGTGCGTGCTCGTCAGGACTGGGCGGAGATGGCGCCGCGGCCGGTCACGGCCACGGAGAAGAGAGCTGGCGGAGACGCGGAGCTCTCTCACAGCAGCGATGCGGAACCGAAGGGCGTCTGGCGGGCCGGTGCCGTGGTCAGAACCTAGGGAGCTGGCGGCTGCAAAGTCGAAATGGGAAGACGTCCAGCTGAGTCTTTAGGCGGGCTACGGCGTGGCGGGGCTGCACAGCAATTGGACGGCGACGGCGAGGCGCATGTGAGAGTCACGCGGCGGAGGCAGAAATCAAACAGCGGTGGTTTGCAGCAGGAGCGTTGGAGCACGCACCTGTCGGCTGGCGTTCTGAGGGCAGCGACGCCTCGCGCCGGTGTTGCAGTCAGCCAATGGCCGCTGCCGCTTGAGAACGTGGCCAAGTCTGCGCTGCGCTATGCCCAAACTGTCACCCCTACGGCAGCCCAGAGCCACCCGTTGGACAAACACCAGACCCGTCTTCTCGCGAAGCGCCCGTCCGCGAGCCCACGCCCGCGCCCCGCTGCAGAAAAAAACGCACCCGCCTACTGCGCCATGACGTCATGTCACATGTGTCCCTACCCGGACCGCTCTGCTGGGACCCGCCTTGCCGTCAACACCTCCGTCTTCACGCCGCACAACTCAATTTTTATATGAGAGTCTGAACTGCCATCCAGAGAGCTACACAAGCTATTCTATACGGACCCCCCACCTTGAGTCTCGAAAGCCTCTCATCTGTGATTTTTTTTGGGACTATTCCCCCACATGCTCTTCCACAAGCTTCTTCAACTCAGCCGACTACCTCTCCCCACCGCTGCCTGTTTCTGCTTTGGTCTGCTCGAAACTTCTGTGAAGACAACAAATGAGAGCTGGTATCCTTCCTTCGCTTGCAAACCCGAAAACAATCCTGGACTCCAACGCTGCAACCAGGCGTCGAGAAGATGCTCGCTCATAGCCCGTAAGCGTCCCACCCATCAAGATCCACACTGCCCCGCCGGACCTTGGTCCCATTCGACGTGCTCTCTGATCGGTCAAACTGTGTTCGGACGGCGGCGTCCGTACCCAGCTCTTGGTCATGTCACAGCTCATCGTCCTCCAGCTCCGACGGCTTCAGCAGACCACCCACCTTCATCGCACGCTCGCGCTCCTGGTCCTTGGCAGCCTTGGCCGCTTGCTCGCGTTCTTCCGCGAAGAGCTCCGCGTTGTCTCCAGAGAACTCCTTCAGCGAGATAAGGAAGTCACGGAGAATGAGCTTGAACCGGTTCAGGTCCGAGTTGGTCGCAAGCAGCCCATCGATGAAGTTCGAGATTTGCAGCCTGGCTACGGTCAGCGTCGCTACACCATCGAGCATAGGCTTTCACTTACGTCTGCAGGTTGGGGAAGGCGTTGGCGAGGAGGTTTCCGGTGAAGTTCTTGAGGAAGTCCTGGTTCGAAGTGCCAGCAGGAGCCATCTCCGGAGTGTAGATTGGCCCGCTGATCTTGCCCGACTCAACGAGCCAGAACATCCTGGCAAGCAGCGACGACTGGTGCTTGAAGCCAGCCTTGTGGTCGTTGTCCGTGAGCACGAAAAACACATCTTGCAAGATCGTCGTGTAGAAACTCTGGAAGAAGGTATTGCACGTCACCGGGTCCGTCTCCGACATGTTGGAGATGAGTTCAAAGCACATGCTGAGACCAGCACCCTCAACCTCACGGTTGTCGTGCTTACTCGCCCACATGCATGAGTCGATGACGAACTTGAACGAGCGCGCATCGAGTTTGAGGAGGGCCGGGAAGCAACGGAGGTTGATGGTGCGGAGAAGCTTGAAGAACTCGACGCGGTGGTCAGGGTACTCTGAGAAATCCTTGTTAATCATGTCCAGGGTGCATTCAAAGACGGCGTCCATGATGTTCATGATTTGATCCTCCATCAAGCTCTGTTTACTGTTAGCAGGGCATCCCTTACGCAAAAGGGAAATGCAAATACAAATGTTTGCATGAACCGGCTGAGATTGGGTCTCCAACGTACATGTAGCTTGTTGATGATGGTGGTCATCACGTTCAGCACCTCGGCTTCACGGGCATCAGGTACGTTGCGCTTGTAGTCGAGGAGCACGGCCTCCAACAAGCCGGGGACCAACGTGTTATGAACCATCTCCAGATCATCTGCTCTCTCGACATACGTGTTGATGAGCTTCAAGATCTCCTTCTTGACGGTACGAAGACCGCGGACCTTGGGCATCTTGGTTGCAATGTTGCCGTCACGCTGCACACCCTCGTCGATCAGGCCACTGGCTGCGCGGAACATGGTGAGCATATCCAAATAGATCCGGCCAATCTGAGGATAAAAGTAGCTGCCAATTGAAGTGCAAGCAGCGACATTCGTCTTCATGATGTTGCCAATGATCTTGATGGTCTCGCCGTCCTGGAGAATGCTCGGATCGGTGTTTGCTGACTGGATGATGGAGTCCCATGCAGCGTTGGGAAGAGACATAAGCTCTTGAATGAGACGCTCTTGGATGCTCTTCTGGCCTTGCGCACTGATCATGTAACCGCAGGCCTCGTAAAACGTGTGGATTTGCTGAGGCGAGAGATCCATGGTGATCTTGCGGAGGTTACGGACAATCTCATCAATGAAGGGCTCCGTCTCTCCAGGCTGTAGAGCCACAAAGTGACGCCTACACTTGTTGGCGATCTTGATGAAAGTATCACAAGCCATGTCCTGGACACCTGCGATGGGTTAGCTGTAGCTTTCGAGGGGGGTGGTTTCCGGACGTACCCTCGTGAGTCTCGTGCATGAACTCGAACAGCTTGTTGACGACAGTCTTCAGGAATTTCCAGTGCGCCTTCAGGAATCTGGGGTATTGGCCGACAATGTACATGATGTTAGATGCGACAACAGCCTTGTTGTCCTTGCCGCGCTTCATTTCCGTCAGGCCGAGCAGATCCTTGATGACAGTAACCAAGAATCTCTTCTCAGTTTCCTCGTTCATTGCACCAGAAATCGATCCAATGGCCCAACAGAGAGTGTTGCAGTTAGCCCAAGACCATTCCGAGCCATCGACTTGTCGGGCGAGCTTCTCGGACATGATCTGCTCAGTATCGTTGACGTCCAGATGCGTCAAAAACACCAAGCACTCCCTCGTCGACTTGTAGAGTTGGATGGTGTCACTCTCCTTGACGAATTCGCGGACGATTTCACCCTCATCGTTCTCCACAATCAAAACTTCCTCGGGCCTGACCATCTTCTCGATCATGACCTGGCGCAAGTTGGAGAGCACTTCGGCGTACTTGTGCTTACGCAGTGGGTAGTTGGCAAGAATGGCAGGGTCCCGCGCACCGCCGTTCGCCATGCTGCCGAGGCCCATGTTGATGAGTGGGTTGATATCGCCGATCGGGAGCTGCTGCATCTCATCGTACAGTTCCGAAACAAGCTTCGTCCAGTACTCCAAGCAAATCTTAAAAATCTCGCGATCCTCAATCTGGCTGATACGGATGAGGTAGAAATGGCCGTGAATCAGGAAATCGCGGTTCGGCAGATTCTCAATAATGCTCAGATGCATCGAGAAGTAGTTACACAGGAACAAGGCCAGGTTCTGAACAAATTCCTGGTCTCTGCTGTTGCTCTGCGCGTAAGTGCTCTTCAGGTCCATCGAAAGCGGAATGATCTTGGAAATTTCGGTGAGCGTCTCAGTGAACATTTGGACAAGCTTCTCGTTGTATGCCGGCTCAGTGTGCAGGCCCGCGATTTCGGTCAAGCACTTGAGCGTAATGTTACGGAACTCGGGAACCTCCAAAAACCGGCTGCGAAGGGTCTCGATAAGGCTGATGCCGCTAGGGGGAGTCTCGAAAATGTAGCCAAGCGGAATCCAATTGAGGAAACGCAATAGAGTCTCCAGGGTGGCTTTGATCAGGGAAGCCTGCTCGGCGGTCCTCAAGACTTCAGAACAGAGCTGATAGATGGAAGTGAACTCGTCGCACATGCTCTGTTTGAGCTCCTTCGTTTTGGAGGAAGTCATCTGGTCGGCCGAGTAGTCGAAGACCTCTTCCGACAGTAGCCTAAGAATGACCATGTTGTTTTCGCAGATGGGAAGGCTGCTGTGGCAGGAGGAAATGATCTCGTTGATGAAGGTGGGCCAGTTGTGGGGCCATTCCTGCTTCAGGATGGAGACGAGAACGAGGTTCAGCTTGTTGAGGAGGGTGCGCTGGTTCCTGAGGCTCTCCTCGGTGCTGGAGGTTTGGATGATGAAGTTGACGACGAAGTTGCGGATACCTACACGCCGTTAGGATATTCAAGAGTGGCCGCAGCCCACAGCCTTCATACCTTGACATTGGTCTCTGGGAAGAACCTTCCACCTCGTCATGATCACATTGTCCAGGACTTGCAGGCCCAGGTCTACCCCAACAGTCAGCTTCGCTGTTGTTCCAACACGGGGCCGGGATACTTGCACTTGGTCTGCGGATACTGGGCATCTTGTAATATCTTATCGACCAGCAGCCATGCGTCGGGGTTCTCTTTGAACTAGGGCCAAATTTGTCAGCGCCATCGAGGCTGTGGTGAGGGGTATGCGGCCGTACCTGGTTCAGCGAGGCTTGCGCTTGTTTTTGCTGTAAAGCAGAGAGTGTCAGCACATGCGAGTCGGAGGCAGAGTTGCACGCGTAGAAGCACGTACGGTGTCGCCTCGACCCTCATAAAAGGCGCGGACGGTCGCGTCCAGCTCCTCGATTGACATGGACATCTTGAGAGCTGGACTGAGAAGATGCGGCTCGATTTAGAGCGGGAACGACGGGGCGGGGTGTGTGGAAGGGCGCGCGCTCAATGCCGAGGCGGGGTGGGCATGCGCGAGGGTGAGGTTGAGGTAGGTTTGCTCGGCGCGGGACGTAACGCGATGGGATGGCGGGGCAGGGTTGGGCGCGCGGGCGCAGGCAGGCTGAAGGAACCGCTCAGCGCGTGGAAAATTGGGGCAGCGACGGGCGCAGGCGGTGCTCGGGGGAGAGAGAAGGTAGACGCCTCGACGTGGCAAAGTCGAGAGGCAGATGCACGCGAAAAGGTGACGGCGGATAAGAAGGACGTGCAGCAGCGGCGCCTCTGGTTCACGACGCGGCGGGACAGCAACCCCGGTTTGAGGATTATCCGGGTGCCGGCGGCTGCCAGCTGAGCTACAGGATTTGCTGGAAAGCTCCACTCCTCATCGCAGTCTTCTCACTTGCTTCATCTCTCCGCCCCTGCTCCCACAGAAACCCCGAGCGCTGTCCGCCCGCCCGTCCGCCCGCACCGGCCCTGATATACTGCACTGCGGGTATCTCGACTGCGGCGGATGCGACACGTCCCTTCCAGCGCCGCCCCGCGCGGAATGCAAGTCTGGCGGTGGCACGCTGGCGGCGCGGGGTATGCCCCATTCGAAGCGCTGGCAGGCTGGACCGCGCTGCTGTTTGTATGCTCCTTTGTTCTCTGTAGTTTCTATCACAGCAACCGACTCAGGCCACCGTCACTGTGCCACACCCAAAATTATCATGAGACTTCGGAAGCACCCGCATCGCACCCGTGTCCGCAGCTCCCGGGTTCTCATGCAGCATCCCTCAACCTCCAGGCCGTGCAGCGACAGAAACGCGGGTTCGTGATGGTATCATGGTGTTGTCTCTATCCAGCATTTCTTAGGGTTCCGCGGGGAACGACGTGGCTTGCGCTTGCATCCAATGCGGCAAAGAACTCCCTTGAATGCTGAGTTTACCACCTGCGGGCTATTGACGTGGCGCCGAGTAGTCGGGATGGTCTCCATTGGCGGATACATGCATGTGCATAACCCTCAGCTTTACCCTGCACAACTCCTGTCGTGCACCAATCTCGTTTCCTGAGTCTGATTGTGCTATTTTCAGTTGATGGATTTCTCTTCATTCTGCACACCAAGCCCTTGGCTGGGGAATTGACTCTGAGATGGTATCACGACGTGCATTCTAAGTCAGCAGCGATTGAACAGGCGCTGCCGCTGAGCAAAGTCAAAGCGTGTTTCATCACCCGATGCATCGGCGTCTGAGATAGCTTGTTTCGGCAGCCAACGAAGTACACGATAGCGTAGGAATGGGCGCTGCCGCAGCAAGGACTTCCGTGGCGTCCCCGCGCTTGGTAATAGCGGGCCGCCACCGCCTCGCTCGGTGTCAAAATAGCTGAAGAACTCATGGCACGTGGGCATGGTGAAAGGCCTGCTGGCGACCATCCAGCCTGCCAGCTGTTCTAGCGTGTTCGAGCGCGCGGTCTAGCAGATTAGTTAGCAGGTCGTCGGGCAGATGCAGGGAGAAGGAAGTATCCAAGCGCGATCGCTTGTGCTCGAGAGATCGGGGGCGTGCGCGCCCTTCCAGCTTCAATTCAAGGGTCTTCGCGCGCGAGAGTCAGCGCCCGCGCCTGGAACAAAGGGCCAGAATGAATCGCCTGGCGTTTCGAGAGCCGCTGCCGGGCGGCAGGCAGGCAGCAGGCCGTTGATGCAGTGCATATCAACTTACTAGGAAAGGCGGTATGACGTCGGCAGCCGCAGTTGGGCAGAGATGGAAGCTTCCCTTAGCCAAGCGCGCTAAAGCAGCGCAGCGCATGCACGCCCGTCACCTCACTCCCGCCCCAGACAAGCAAATCATCACGGGACAACGAAGCCGTACATATACAACGCGCACCCTCGCCAACGCCCTCCAATAGCAGGCGCGTTTCTGTCGCATCCACGGTCCGCCCACCACTCGCGAATTCCCACGCCCTCTGGTCTTTTCGCTTCCAGCGCCTCTTTCACACGCCGCAACCGCCCCCTCCTGTGCGCTCCCGTCTACCGCCCACCTCCCACACCACCCACCATGGCCAACACCCCTGTTCCGTCTGCGCTGCGTACCGCCGAGGCCTCAGCCTCAAACGGCTCCATCGTCACCACCGAGTCCGGGCAGTCGCCCTTGAGCCTCCCGTCAGGCACCCTGCGCCTGCGCGCCGAGCCCGTGCAGCGCCGCCACATCCAATGGGCCGAGGACGTCGTTGACAACGAGGGAATGGGCAAGAAGTCGTCGAAAGGTACGCGCGAGAGCTCCCCGGCCCTTTGGCGTCGGTATCACCGCGTGTGTGGTCACAGGGCTGACAATGATTACACAGTGTGCTGCATCTACCACAAGCAACGCGAGTTCGGCGAATCCTCCGACGAGTCCTCGTCCGATGACTCCTCTTCCGATGAGGACTCGGACAGCGAGCCCGACAACAGCTCCGCGCGCCCCACCAACAGCCGCGGTCGCGCCCACAACCACCGTGGCAATGGCGGGAATGGCCCGAAGAAGGCACGGAAGAGGAGCCCCAACGCTTACGAGAAGATGCCCAACTACAACAAGAACAAGAGCGGGGACGACAAATAGGTCCGGTCGGCACTACTAAACGGTGTTTGGGGTTTATGACTGAATGATTTTGCATTTCTTTGCGGGGCGTTGGGGCTACTATATTCGCATCAAGCGACGGTGTTCGGGTCTTACTATCGTTTCAAGTCTCTGGTTGGAGGCAAAAGTAAGCAAGAAATTGGGTCACAAGCTGGCATTTCGGCGGCTCTCGCATCGCACATGGACATGGCTCATCGTGGTCTAGGATAGACTAGATGCAGTTGAACGGCTCGCCAGAGCGCCGTTTCTCCCTATTCTTTTCATCGGCATTCCCGAATGTTGTCTTGTACCTTTTTTTTTTTCGGTTTTCAGGAGCGGTTGGGCTCAATAACCTCCCTTTGCAATCGCTCGAAGAAATGCCAAGTTTCGTTCGTTATCAATTTGTGTGACCCTTCTCAAACTGCCAGTTCCAGGGCATCGTCATCAAGCGCGTACTGCCTTGTTCACTGTCAAATTGTCACGGACCCAGGCGCAGAAGAATTCTCCGATTGGTCTGCAAAACTAACTAGAGGGCACATTTCTGGTTCAGGAATAGCAGCTTTTCTCAGCATCGTATATAAAGCATGCTCTGACGGACTTCTGCATACGAACCGGATCTCTACTCCTTATATTGAAAGAGCGCAGACTAGCCAGGGCAATGTGTTGGACATCACCATCACGTATATTCAATCACGTTGAGGATGATCGTCATTATCAACCCAACAGGGTCATACCTATTCAGCAACGTGTTATCATGGACAATACCCTTGTTGGGTACCCCTTTCTTCGTTCATCCATATAAATACCATGTACGGACGTAGTAGCAGCGTTTAATAGATCATCCAGTCGAATAGCTTCTTTCTGCACACGGCTGTGATCACCGACTGACACATTGTCACTGATTCTGACAGATACTTAAACGTTGACTAGTCATGTATGCGAAGGAGGCTGAACCGGACCTCATACTTTGTCTGGGATAGCCAACCATACGCTGCGCTCTCAATCGTGTGTTTTCTTCAGCCGTCGACATGGTAACCTAAGCGACTCAAGCTATTGGCCATGCCATGACCCCGTCCATGATAGCGCAGTGGAACACGTTATTCCAAGCAGCAATCGCAACCTCGTCGAATGACGAATATATAATATAATGCAAGCGCGGTATATTCTGCTGGCTTTCCTGGACGCGGACGAAAGGAACAAGTGGTAGCCTGGGTATCAACATGGCCAAGTGGGTCAGACAAGGAGTCATAGCTTCTCTGCGAAAGGCCTGAGGCTAGGTGACTTTCCTTCCGCGTGCTCAAGGGGAACAACGCATGCAAGAGGCACGGCCAATGGGAAGGCGCGCTGGCTTCGCGGTGACTAGTCAGCAGGGCGCGATGCCGGTTCGGTCGGTTCGGAGGAGATCAAACGCAGGGTATCCCAACAGAAAGGCATGGGGAGCTCAGTGGCAGCGGCCGGGCTGTTCACCGCGAGGAGCCAGTGCGCGCAGCTGAGCGTGGGCACGTGGTGCCCCGAATTGCTCCGCGACGGCTTGCCGACGCGGACTTGGGCCGGCCGGCCCCAAGCTCCTCTCTTTTGTTTTCGCGATTTCCCCCCAGCGCAACACCATCCCCCAAGCACATCATCGGTACGACTGCATCGCTCCATCTCACCGCGCCTGCTCGCTGACCCGCCGATCCAGTTTTCATCCTCTTCTCCGCCGCATCACCGCCATCATGTCCGTCCCCGCCTTCAGCGACATTCCCAAGTCGGCCAACGACGTACGTTTGCATGCCGCCGCATCCTCGCGCAATTGCTCCTGCTCGCCCGCCTGCCAATGCTGACCCTGCCTGCCGCAGCTCCTGAACAAGGACTTCTACCACGCCGCCGCTGGTGAGCTTGCGACGCGCACTCCCGTACGGACCCAGTCACTGACTTACCCCGATAGCGGTCCTTGAGGTCAAGCTCAAGTCCCCCAACGGCGTCGCCGTCACCACCAAGGGCACTTCTGCCCACGATGGCCCCATCAACGGCTCCGTAAGTCTCGCAGCACTCCCGCGCGCTTTGGAGTGACCGCTGATCGCATCTGCGCGCAAAACAGGTCGAGGGCAAGAAGGCTCTCTCTAACGGTATATCTATCCAACACCTATCTTTAATTGCACCATTCAGAAAGAAGAACGGCTTCAACGGCTTCTTCACGTTCTCGGGGGTGCCGGGTCCACCAGGGGCCCATGGATTCGAACTACTGGGGCTAATGCGTATCTCGACGAAAACAGGCATCACCGTCACGGAGTCTTGGAACACCGCCAACGTTTTGAACACCAAGGTTGAGCTGGACAACACCTTCACCAAGGGCCTGAAGGCGGAGCTCTCCTCGGTCTTCGCGCCCAGCTCGGGCAACAAGGGCCAGAAGCTCAACCTGACCTTCAAGCAACCCGCCTTCCAGACCCGCGCCTTCTTCGACTACTCGGCCGCCGGCAACTTGACCGCCATCGTCGACGGTGTTGTTGGCCACGAGGGCTTCCTCGTTGGTGGTGAGGCTGGCTATGACGTGCAGAAGGCTGCCATCACCCGCTACTCGGCCGCCGTCGGTTACCAGACCCCCCTTTACAGCGCTGCCATCACCGCCACCAACAACCTGAACGTTTTCACTGCCTCCTACTACCAGAAGGTCAACGCCGCCGTCGAGACTGGCGCCAAGGCTTCCTGGGACGCCAAGTCCGGTTCCGCCGTCGGCATTGAGCTTGCTAGCAAGTACAAGCTCGACCCCCTGTCCTTCGCCAAGGTGAGTGCTCTGCGGGAGCGCAATCTCAAGAACAATTAGGGGGAAAGGGTAGCATGGCTGATACAATTTGCTCCGAAAACAGGCCAAGATCAACGACCGCGGCATTGCTTCCCTTGCCTACAACACCAAGATCAACCAGGGCTTCACCTTCGGCATCGGCGCCTCCCTCGATGCCCAGAAGCTCAACGAGGCCGGCCACAAGGTAAATCACCTACTTTCCCCTCCTGAAATACAATACGTAAACCGAGGATGAGCATGCGCTAACAAATCACTTCCAGGTTGGCGCTTCCTTCACCTTCGAGGGTTAGACGAGACGAAAAGCGGTTTGCGGATGGAGACATAGGACTAGGGGACGGAAAGATGGATACTTTTGATTTTCCCTGTAGCTTTAGCTTTTCCTCTCTTCGTTGGTGAGGCCCTGTAACGCTAGAGCATTCTTGAGTACTCAAAGAAGATACACAATTAAGAAAACGTGCATACATTAACAAAACGTTCGTCCGCATTGCTCCCGATCTCAATGATCAATGTACAATGCCAAGCAGCAAAACCAGAGGGAATCGTACCAATTACCGATCTATTGCCCATGAAATAAAAACAAAAGGAGCTTCGCCACGCATTGCCTATGCCCTGTAATTCCAAGTATCCAAAAAGACCCAAGCCTCCTGTCACCAATTCGCCGCGCCCACGGATCTCTTTCTCTCTCTCCCTCTAGACCAGACCCATGAAACTCCCACCACTTTACTTCACTTCAACCTCAACCCAGCTCGCCCACCTCACCTCCCAGCCACCGCCACCCCCGGCCCGCCGCCCATCTTCTCCTTCTCCTTCCTGTTGTGATGAAACCAGCTCGGTATGCTCGCCACAAACGCAATCGCCCCGCCCACCACGAAGAAGTTGATCAGCAGGCTCCACGGCCCCCCGCCGTTCTTCATCTCGTCCGTCGTCTCCCCCCGCGCCCGCGCCCGCCGGCTCAGCCGCGCCGATATCCCCTCCTGCGTCCGCCGGTGCGCCACCCGGTCCCAGTGCGGCAGCGCCGCGTCGTCGCCGCGGGTCGCCTGCCCGGGACCGAAACCGCCGCCGAAGCCGCCGCCGCTGCCGAACGCCCCCGCCGTGTATGAGGATGATGATGAAGTGTGCTCCCCCGACTCGCCGGCGTAGTTGTGGTGGTCCGTCGTGTCGGAGTACGGGTTGTTGCGGCTGTTGCTGCTGCCGTCGTAGCCGCCCGCGGCGGAGCGCTTCGCCGCGTGCGCGCCCCACGCGCCGTTGCGGTAGAAGGACGGCGGCGGCCCGCGGAACTGCGTGCGCCGCCGGCTCAGGCCCGAGGCCGGGCGCGAGCCCGCGGGGCCGGCGTACGCGGGCGACGAGGTGCCGTGGTGGGCGTGCGGGTGCTGCCGCGCCAGGTCGCGGTCGTAGCGGCTGCGCTTGTCGGGCGTGCCGAGGACGTGGTAGGCTTCGCTGATGCGGACGAAGCGAGAGGAGGCGGCTGGGTCGCCTTTGTTGCGGTCGGGGTGGTGGCGTTTGGAGAGGGAGTAGAATTGGCTGTCGGGGGTGGTGGTTCGGGTTAGTTGGGGGTGTGGTGGGAGGGAAGTGGCGGAGCGGCGTTGTGATGGCGGTGGTCGATTCGATGGATGGGTTTTTTTTGGGGGGGGGTTTTTTTTGCTCTTACCGTTTGATGTCCGCAGCGCTCGCTGTGAAGGGGAGCTCGAGCGCATCGTAGTGGTTTTGTGCCTCAGCATTATCGCGCCGGATTGAGGCGTGGAACTGGCGTGCGCCGCTGCGGCTGCTGCATTGTTGCCGCCGGTGTGCGGCGAGCAGTTGATGAGGGTTTCGCGGAGACAGCACAAGGCGTGGCATGCCTCATTCTTGGATTGAATCTAGGGCGGAAAGAGTGATTGTGGTGGTGTCGATTCAAGGTGGGTGGGAAGAGAGTAGGAGTAGTTGTATGTCCATGATGACGTCTCCGACAGCGGAAGTGCACAGGGTACTGCGGGCGGCGGTCCCGCCAAGCAAAGCGGGCCCAGAGCATTGGTAAAATAGGCTGTCTTATCTAGATGTGGCCGCTCGAGATATCAGATGGATTTTCTCGGAGTTCGAGAACACCACTCAGAAATTGCTGCTAATTATTTGAGATGGCCTTGAAGTCTTTTGTGGTAGTATTGTAAAGTATTAGCATGCTTTTAGGTCTTTTTACAGCGGTTTGTGGGCCACTTTTCCCGCAGTCGGTGGTTCGCCGCGGAGTGGACAGGCAACTACTTATTTGACCGATGATGGCCGTGTCTCGCCATGACCCATTCGAGTCAACAGAGATAGACAGTCCGTTGTCGGCTGCTAGACAGACGCGTCCTCATCTCATCAGATCAATCTTTCCGATCTCCGGCAAGATATAAGAGATTCGAGCGCGGGCATTCTCAGCCTTGCAACTCAGGCGGACGCCGGAAGTCCGTTCGAACGCCGCGTCGCACGGACCACTATCAAGATGTGCTGCTCGCCTCTTAAGCCGCTGCCCCACCGTTCCCGGAGCCGACAACCCTCTCACACCAGACAAAATGGCGGCCGCAGCAGCAACGGAGGGAATCAAGGACCTCAAATGTAGGTCATTTCGCGACCTCGTTTCCGGCCTGGGAAAAGGCCAGTGTGCTGATATGACGTAGTAGAGGAGACCAACGGCAAGCCCGCCGAGGGCGCCCCAGCCAACGGCGCGCCTGTGAATGGCGACGCTGAGAGCGACGACGACGAGGAAGGCGATGCTCCTGCCGACGGCGCCCCTACTGGCGGTATGCCCTCCCCATCATTGGCCTCGTTCCGGCCCGCCGTTCGATCCGCGCATTTCTGACAAGGTCGCCGTCTACAACAGAAGCGAAGAAGAAGAAGAAGAAGCCGAGAAAGAAGAAGAAGAAGGGCGGTGCTGGCGGCAGCGCATCAAAGCAATCAGACCCGCCGCGTGTGCCAGTGTCGCAGCTGTTCCCCAACGGCCAGTACCCCGAGGGCCAGATCGAAGAGTACCGCGACGAGAACCTGTACCGCACCACCAACGAAGAGAAGCGCCACCTCGACCGCATGAACAATGACTTCCTCAACGAGTACCGCCAGGGCGCCGAGGTCCATCGCCAAGTGCGCCAGTGGGCCCAGAAGACCATCAAGCCGGGCATGACCCTCACCGAGATTGCCGAGGGCATCGAGGACGGCGTGCGCCATCTGACTGGTCATCAGGGCTTGGAGGAGGGTGATAACTTGAAGGGTGGGATGGGCTTCCCTACCGGTCTCAGCTTGAACCACTGTGCTGCGCACTACACGCCCAATGCCGGCAACAAGATTGTGCTGCAGCAAGAGGACGTCATGAAGGTTGATTTTGGCGCCCAGATCAACGGCAGAATCGTCGACAGTGCTTTCACTCTGGCGTTCGACCACAAGTATGACCCGCTGCTTCAGGCTGTGAAGGAGGCGACCAACACCGGCATCAAGGCAAGCATTGACGGCTGTGTAGGCAGGCTCTGTTGGCTAATCGTGGACTAGGAAGCTGGTATTGACGTCCGCATGTCTGACATCGGCGCCGCTATCCAGGAGGTCATGGAGAGCTACGAAGTCGAGCTTGACGGCCAGACACACCAGGTCAAGTGTATTCGCAACCTCAACGGCCACAACATCAACCAATTCGAGATTCACGGTGGAAAGAGCGTGCCCATCGTCAAGGGCTCCGACCAGACCAAGATGGAGGAGGGTGAAACATTTGCCATCGAGACCTTCGGAAGTACCGGAAAGGGTTATGTCCGGGACGACGTGCGTGCTCCCCCACGTGCTTCATGTTTCTACGCGAAGATGGCTGAAACTGACGACCCCCACAGATGGAGACATCGCACTACGCCAGGCGCGTCGACGCTCCCAAGGTGGCGCTGCGCGTCTCGTCGGCTAAGTCGCTTCTCACGTCTATCAACAAGAACTTCGGTACCCTGCCTTTCTGCCGCAGGTACCTGGACCGTCTGGGCCATGACAAGTACCTCCTCGGTCTCAACAACCTTGTCCAGAGCGGCATCGTCGAGGCATACCCTCCGCTATGCGATGTTAAGGGTTCCTACACTGCCCAGTTCGAGCACGTGAGTATCTTCCAAATCACAAGTCATTCGTTCGGCTTTGGCTAACCTTGTTCTGCAGACCATCCTTCTTCGTCCCAATGTTAAGGAGGTCATCAGCCGGGGCGACGACTACTAAGGATTTGCGCGCCATCATTAAAGCTTTTTCATTTGCTTTGGGATTTCACAGGATATGCCAGCTGACTGACTTGACGAAAAGTACATCGAGTGCATGGGAAGACGAACAGATAAGGAAAAATGAAAACATGTCGAGAACAATCACTGAAGGCTACAAAACAACTGGCACACAAGGGCTCCGACAGAGGTCTTCAGCCGGTGCTACTCGCGTGAACATGATCCGCTACAGCTTCTCTCTTCCTCTTTTGTCGCTAGGACCTTGTTTGCTGATCAGTTCGTCAACACTCACACCATCGGACATGCGCAGCAGATAGCCTTGATAGATGGGCGCCAGCCCGCGTTGCATGCCCCGTGCCGACGACTCGGCACCGTAGGCGGTAATTAACCTGCGGAGTAGGGGCTGGTGACGACGGGCGCCTCGGGACGAAGATGGTGATGCTGACGATGATGATGATGATGCATCGGCCTCAGCTCTCGCCGCCACGGCTCGGAGGAAGGCAGCATCTTCGTCGGCCAGCGGCGGCAGGGGCAACTGGAAGTCGGCGCTGTACTCGCCGCTGGTCGTGTCGGCCCCACCATGGTCATCACCATCATCACCACGGCGGCCGGCGCCGGCGTGACGATCAGGGAAGAAATGCTCGTTATCGCGGGCCATATTATAGCCAACCCTGCGGGATGAGCGTGGGCTCTGCTTGGCTTTTCAAGGTGGTTGGCGGGATAATATTTTTTTCTTTTTTTCCTCTCTAATTCTCGTCTTGTCTCTGCTGTCCCCTGCGATCAGATGGGGCAGCAAGCTAGATGTGTGCCGTGATGATGTAGCCCTGCTGAAACAAAGAGCGGAAGATGTTTGTTTCAGGACATGCACGCGGGGAGTGGGATGATGAGAAGGGTGGCGGGCAGGAGAGCTTGAGACGACGCAGTGGTCGATGAAAAGCCAGCTAGTCGGAAGTATCCGTTGGCGGAGCAAGCCGACTTGGATTGGGCAAAAAGGCGTGATGGTTGCAAGCAGGAAAGGGCGACATGGCAACGACCCCGCCGAAGGGCGTTGTGCCGAGCCTCGGGGCTTGCAGCAGCGGGCAGGTGGGGCAAGTCGGATGCAGCCTGGCCTTTCGTTCCCACCACCCACAATCCACGCCCTACGCTGTGCATTAACCGGAGACACGCGGGATTATTCTTCCGCCGACCGTTCCTCGTACGACATCGCAATTCGTCAATTGGTCTGCTCTGCTCTGCTAAGTCAACTGGAGGATCCACGCAGCTACTGCCAACGTCACGCGCGACTTGCCCTCATTTCGCATTCCTTCCTGACTCGGCTGGCAAGATCACCGTGTCTCGTCTATCTTGGGAATCACCACTCTACACTGGATATATAAACCTTCCCTCCATCCTCCGACTCTCTCTCGTCACCTCTCCTTCGCCTCCCCCCACCTACCACTTGGGACCCCAGTTCTTCCTGAAAGCAGGGAGACAAGACCCAGGCTCCACTCCTCTCAGAAGCTGCTACTCGGCCTCTATGATCGTTGCCGCAACCGTCCGCCGACTTTCACCGTTGACCGCCGCACGCCCAACTGCTTTCACCTTTCACCGAGCTCTTCCGTTGGCTTCTTCTTTTCCTCCTTCATCGATTATCACCGGTACCCCACGCAACCGCCTCAACAAGACCACCATCAGAACCATGTCGTCCGAGCCCCAGAAATACGAATGGCTCATCATCCTGCCCGACCAGGATGGCGCCCTGCCCCGTCGTATGGAAGTCAGGCAGTAAGTCCCACCGACTCTTCCTCCCTTGGGCCCCCCACTTTTGAGCACAAAACTCTTTTTTCTCCCTTTCTCACTGTCAATTTCGTGACCCTACATCCCGCCTCCATTTTCTTTTTTTTCTCTCTCTTTCTCTCTGCTGCAAGGCACGTCTGTTGGCTCGTGATGCCGACATAGCTGAAGCACAGAAGAAAACAAAAAGAAAAGAAGGAGCGAGAAGAAGAAGAAAACCCCCCAAAAAAAATAACCCAGGCTAATCAATCCACAACTCTCCTCGCCCACACAAACAGACAGCACCTGTCCAACCTGCAAACGTACCCGTCCGACTTCTGGCTGTGGGGCGGTGGCTTCCTCGAGGACGTGCCGAAGGAGGGCGAGCCGATGAAGATGCTGGGCAGCGCGATGCTGGCGTGGGCCGCCACCAAGGAGGAGGTGTTGGAGAAGCTGAAGAGGGACGTCTACACCGAGAACCAGGTTTGGGACTGGAGTAAGGTACGTTCGTCTCTTTTTTTGTCTCTACGTTTTTCTCTGTTCTGTTGCTTCTCTTTCGCTTTCTTTGCAATTCTCGATTACTCTTTCGGATTTTCCTTTCTGGCGTTCGTCATTCCACGTCTGAAGGAGGCAGGGAGCAAACCAGGGTGGGGGAGGGATTGGTTCTCGGAAACCAAGTGCACTGGACGAGCAGCGGGCGAGGATTGGTGTTCTGTTCCTTTCTGTCGTTGATACGTTCAAGCTTCTTCACCCCCCCCCTGCCTGTCAAAGCAACAGACGCACACGTGCTAACCGCCTTTGACATGCAGGTCCAGATCTACCCGTTCAAGAGCGCCATCCGGAAGCCTTTGTGACTCAGTCAGCAGGAACCAGGACATCAGTCGTTCGACAAGAACGACAGGTCAAGAATATAGTTTTCTGGCTTTTTCTTTTATTTAGATTCGGTCTGTCTTGCTCTCTGTCGAAGGGGGTAGCTAGCTATGTGATGACCTCGCACAATGACGCGCCAGCAATGAATAGAGCGCGATTTTTCTTTCCCACATGTATATTCTGCTTGAGGACTGAGTGATGATTGTGGAGCCTCGCTCCTTCTCGACTCATCCGTTCACGCTACTTCGCAGACGTTGCATAGAGAGAAGGAGTGTCATAGCCGCTGGCTTCTTCTTTCCCCTTGATACTATATACATATATCATCACACGTGTTTTCCAGTTCATTAACCCTACCATATCCCTCGGGGCTTCACAAAGCATCCCCGTTCCACACGCCCGCCACTGCAATCAGAACCTAACCCTCACCATCCCCATCCTCTCCTCTCCTCAACAAGTCTCTCTCTCTCTCTCTCTCTCTCTCTCTCACTCATTTCACCCCCGGAATCGAACCCGCCTCATTCGCACCCAGCTCCTCCTCCCTCCACCCCTCACTATCAATCTTCACCTGCCCACCGCCGCCCACCTTCCTCCCGCCCTCCGCCCTCTTGACCCGACACCACATGCCGACCTCCTTGTCCCAGACAAACTGCCAGATGACGCCGACCCAGCTGCGATGCTGGGGCAGGGGGTCGTAAAACTCGCGCGCGATGCGGTTGAGCTCCCACAGCCTGCTCCACGGCACGGCGGGGAAGTCGTGGTGCTCGTTGTGCAGGCCGACGTTGTAGGTGAAGAAGTTGAGGGGGCCGTAGTACGAGTACGTCTCGGGCGCGGCGACGGGGAGGCCGAGGGCGGCGCGGGCGGCGGGCGTCGCGGGGGCGCGGCGGTTGGTCGTGGTGTCGCGCTCGAAGACGTAGTGCTCGGCGATGAAGTGGCCGGCGCAGGGGTGGAGGGAGCCGGCGAGGAAGGCGGAGGCGAGGAGGTAGATGAAGGAGTGCCACGAGGCGAGGCGGACGAGGGCGATGTCGAAGGCGAGTTGGAAGGCGATGTTGAAGAGGTGGATGCGCGAGATGGGCAGCTGGTAGACGAACATGGGGCGCAGCGCGTAGAAGAAGATTTGGAAGGTCGCGAAGAAGGCTTTGCCGAGGACCGAGTCGAGGACGACGGCTTCGAAGGCGGTGGGGAGGTCCGTGTCTAGGCCGTCTACGCCGAGGGATTTGTGGTGCGTGAGGTGGTAGGGCTGTGGGCGGTGGGTGTTAGCTTTTGTCTTGTCTAGTTGTTGCGTGTGTGTGTACCCCGCCCTCTGCTAGAAGCGGGAGTGCCGCGAGGTCTGGGGTGTGTGTCGGATGTGTGCACGCACCCGGAACGAAGCACTGTATGGAATGCCAATGGGTATGTTTGCGAAGCAGGCAAACAGGCGGTTCGCCAGCGGCGACTTGAAGGCCAGATTGTGCGAGATCTCGTGGATGGCGAGGAAGATGTTCTGGTTCGCCGTGGCCCCGATGATGTAGGCGGTGAGGAAGAAGGGCCAGGACAGGATGGGCGTGTTGCGGAGGAGGTAGGCGCAGGTTACTTGCAGCGCGACCACGCCGGCGACGATGTACTTGGTCAATGGCTCGGGCCCGCAGAGCTTCGTGACCTACTGAGTGAACATGTTAGCCACAGGAGCTCCGGTGGCGCGGACTGCGTGGGGTTGGGTGCTTGCCTCCGGGTGCGCCTTGATAATGGCCATGCGCCGTGTCCGGTGCGGCTCCTCGGTGTAGGTCCAGAAGAAATCGGGCTCTGCATTCTTCGTCTTGGACTCGACGGTCGTCGTGGTCGTGACCGACGATGACATGATGGACGGCGGCGGACAAGAAACGAGGGAACGAGAAATAGAAATCGCACTGAGCGAGTGGAGTGGAGGGAGGAAGAAGCTGTGGAGGCAGGACGTGGAGGTGAATTTCGCGGCCGGGGCCCGTATCGATAGGCGTAGGGTGACTCTGGCCTGAGCTGCTTAATTCTCGGACCCAAACCCGCCACTGCTGCTCCACGTGTGACCCACATGGCCCTGCATCAGCCCCAGCCCCGATCCGGATCGAGGCCTTCCGGCTGGCCTGATAGACAGACGATACGCACGCTTTGTAGCTCCAGCATCTTGATTCGCCGCTCTTCCCGCCACTTCCCACCGCTCTCCCACGCTTCCGAGTGCGCATTTCAGAGTTGGCACAGCAAACTTGTGTCATTTATATTTGTTGCGGCATCTACTCAAAAAAGTTGCCTTCATGCTCAGAGCACTAGCTCTGGATTCATCCGGACTTCATCGCTGGAAATCCTACTAATACAATTCAGGTGCCAATCCTTGCCTGCCTGTCAAAATGCCCGTGATAACGCCAACACCACTCATCCATTGCCTTCTGCTTCTCCGAAATTAGAGGCTGTAGTCGCCTTGCTCGAACTTGTCGACATCAAAGTAACGGGCGTGGATGGTGTTGCCGTTGAACACCCTGCCATCCATGGCGTTGACGGCGCGCAATGCCGACAGCTCGTTCGTGAACTTTGCGAAGACTGGAACATCGCCGCTTCCGGAGTAGCGGTCAATGTAGATGCGTTCTATGCGACCGCCCTGCAGAACATCTTTGTTAACCATCGTGGGGGAACAATTGACGCAAGGTTAGCACGTGAGGACTTACAGCCTTGTCGAGCTCTTCGCCAATTTCCTGCATCAGGCTGCCATCATCGAGTTCCTGCTGCAAGTCCAATCCGACTAGCATGTTGCTCATGACGACAACAGCGCTCATCTTGCCATGCTTGCCCTCATCCTCGCTGACCTTGGCCTTCTTACCACCCGTGATCTTGCCCATGCCAGCAGGGGTTGCCCATCCACCACCTTGAGCGTCGGCTAGCTTTTTGCGCTTCTCAGCCTTCATCGCGAGCGGCGTGATGATTCCGTTCTCGTTAGCGCCGAGACCCTTGCCCTTCTCCCAGCCATACTTCTCCATCATGCGCTGAGCGAAGCCCTTCTGGCCAGGCGCCTTGGAGCGTGATCCATCTTCCGCGTCCCGGGCTGCTTCTTCCTCCTCAGCGGCAATCTCCTCGGACAGCTTCTCCGACAATTGTTCGGGCGGCGGAACGTTGTAGCGCACAGGTGCACGAGAGATGGATCCATCGGCCGGAGGCGGCGGGGGTGCTTCTGTAGGAGGAGGAGGAGGCAGCGCATCGGCAGACTCCTCAGGCGGGGGAGGCGGAGCACCCAGGCCACTCAGGCGCACGCGGCGGGCGTAGGCATCTTCGCCATTCGGGTCATCGGATGCTTCAGCGGGAGCCGACGGGACGGGAGGCGTGGGTGTGTTGAGGTCGGAAGGCGGAGCGAAGTTGTAGCTCTTCGGCGGAGCAAATTGAGCTAAGACTGTGTCAGCCAGGCGTTTCCCGAGTCTCGGGCGCGGGTGCGACCTACGCTTGCTGTGCGAGCGCTCGTACTCCTCCTCGTCGCTCTCCGGGTACTCCTTGGACAGCTCCCTCAGCGACCTGTGGCGGTAGAGCAGGTCCTTCCACTCTCCGATCTCGCGCATCTGCTCCTCGCTACCCTTGTACTGGTTGTAGTCGTTGGGGCGCGTCGGGTCGTAGATGTCGTCCCAGTTCTGCTCCTGGGCCTCGTAGTTCTTCTTCTTCTTTTTCTTGTTCTTGCGACCGCCGCGCTCCCTGGGCTGAGAGGCGGCATAGAAACCTTCGTCAGCATCATTGCCAAGGAAGTCGGCAAGCGAGGCCTTGGAGGGCGGGTTTGCAGCAAGCGCGACAGCTCCCGAGGACTTGTTTGCGGCAGCCTGCGGGTCGGGGGAGCTTGAGCCCTGGGCGGGTGCAACGGGCTTGGGGAAGGCAGGCTTGGTCTTCTTCTGAGCCTGGACCTGCGGACGCTTGGTGGGCTGGAAGCGGAGCGCTGCTGCTCGGGTTAACACGACGCTGCATAAGTCACTATTCTACATCTTTTCGAAAGCAGACGCGAGAGGCGCGCGATAGGTACCTGAGTTGATCTGCTGCTTCTTGGCGGGGGTGGCGTCCTGCTGCTGGCCATCGGGGCCAGGCTGCTGGTTGTACATGACAGGCGCGCTCGAGATTGTGCCGGCATTGGAGCCGAGCAGGTTGGCGAACGAGGACAAGCCGCGCGCCGGAGCGTTGTCAGCGTTGTCCTGGGCCATGGCGGGTGAGCGGGCCCGGGCAGGGCAGCGGGCGGGCGGTGGTGAGGAGCTCTGCGGGTGCGGAGTGGGAGTTGTCGCAAGTGATGGATGCGCGCGAAGCTTAGATTGGCTCGCGGCGGGACAGGCTGGTGGGCTGCGCGCGCGGAGAGTCGGCGTCTGTGCTCGGGCGCACGTCCCGCATGGCAATGGCGTAATCGGCCGACACGCCCACGGCTCGCTATCCCGACTTCTCCCTCTGCCGACTCCCGTCCGATCAACCGTTTTGGACGTGCATCGTGTGAGTACTTAACGTCTCCCGGCCGCCTGTGCTGTCCCCGTGTGAGCGCGCGATTTCCTGTCTCTTTGCCGTTCTGCGCCTCCCCCACCTACCTATCGCCATGGCCACCACTCTTGCCAATGCCTTCTCGCCCCAGGCGCAGTCGACTGCCGTCATAATCCCCGGTAACCCAGCCTTGACCGTCTCCTACCAGCAGCTGAGCGCCGAGGTCGTCTCGTTCCAGAAGAAGCTTGCTGCCCTGGGAATCTCGCCCGCCTCGGCAGTGTCCATTGCCCTGCCGAACAGCTATGAGTTTATCGTTTCCTTCCTCGCCGCCTCATGGCAGAGAGCCATTGCCGCCCCTCTGAACCCCGCCTACAAGCAGAGCGAGTTTGAGTTCTACATCGACGACCTCAGCTCCGCTGTCGCCCTCGTGCCCCGCGGCCAGTTCGCCCAGGACTCGCCTGCTGTCAGGGCTGCCAGGAAATACCAGGCTGCCATTGCCGAGTGCTACTGGAACGGAAACGAGGTGGTGCTGGACGTCAAGGACCAGGGAAAGCTGAAGGGCAAGGGGAACCAGAAGGTCGAGCAGGCTCAGCCCGACGATGTTGCCCTTGTGCTCCACACCAGTGGCACCACTGGCAGGCCCAAGGCAGTGCCCTTGACCCACCGCAACCTCACCAGAACCATGAGTACGTCGCTTCCTCATCAAGTGTGCCGTTGACTACATGCTTTGGGCATGGACGGTTGACTCTACCTTCTATGCGTGTCACTTGCTAACGGGTGCGCAGAAAACATCCAGAAGACTTACCAGCTCTCTCCCCAGGATCGTACTATGCTAGTCATGCCGCTGTTCCATGTACACGGCCTGCTGGCAGGTTTCCTCGCCCCGCTCCACTCCGCCGGCTCCGTGATTGTTCCTCCTAAGTTCTCTGCCTCCGAGTTTTGGCACGACTTCAACGAGCACAAGGCCAACTGGTACACCGCTGTACCTACTATCCACCAAATCCTGCTCAAGAACCCACCTCCCAATCCCAAGCCCAACATCCGCTTCATCCGTTCTTGCTCCTCCCCGCTCTCGCCCAAGGTCTTCCACGAGCTCGAGAAGACATTCGACGCGCCGGTCCTTGAAGCCTACGCCATGACCGAAGCAGCCCACCAAATGACATCCAACCCGCTGCCGCAAAACGGTCCGCGCAAGCCGGGCAGCGTCGGCATCGGCCAGGGCGTCGAGATCACGATCCTTGACCAAGAGGGCAAAGAGGTGCCGCAGGGCAAGGAGGCCGAGATCTGCATCCGCGGCGAGAACGTGACCAAGGGCTATCTCAACAACCCGGACGCCAACAAGTCCAGCTTCACCAAGGAAGGCTTCTTCCGCACCGGCGACCAGGGGCTGCTCGACAAAGACGGCTATGTCATCATCACCGGCCGCATCAAGGAGCTCATCAACAAGGGCGGCGAGAAGATCTCCCCTATCGAGCTCGACAACGTCCTGGCGCAACACCCGGCCGTTTCCGAGGCCGTCAGCTTCGCCATCGCCGATGAGATGTACGGCCAGGATGTTGGCATTGCCGTCGTGCTGAAGGAGGGCCAGAAGCTTACTGCGAGCGAGCTGAAGGATTGGCTCAAGGACCGTGTGGCCAAGTTCAAACTGCCCAAGAGGGTCTTCTTCACGGATATCATGCCGAAGACGGCAACAGGCAAGATTCAGCGGAGGAATGTCGCTGATGCCATGCTCAAGCAGGCAAAGGCGAAGTTGTAAAAAACGAGGTGGAGTCACATTGTCTCACACATACCACTTGCAAGCATACTAGAGCCATCGAAGACTCTTTTTTTCTTTTCAGTTTGTTAGATCAGCTTTTGTATATCTCTGTCGCTTTCTCGAGTTACACAAAGGATACACAGATAGATCAGAGTACCTTGCTGTATGCTTTCGGATCCCCCCCTTTATTCCCCCACGATTGTAAATTTCGTGCATATGAAATTTTCTTTGAGCTCAAATTCAAGGTTACCCCGCACTTTTTGATGGTCTTCGTGGGCAGGCAGTGCAGTGCACTACAACTGTGCCTTCCGCTTCTCGCGGAAGATAGTATGATTCCCTTGCATCGGTAGTGGAAGCAATGATGCGGACGCAGATGCATGGTTTTAATCATATAATTACTCGGACGGACACTCCAACTACCCACACGAGTAAAGGCCAGTGTGCACCAGGGGACATGATATTTGTTTTCCCCTGAGATGTTAGCGCCTCATACGCGAGGAGTCTGAATCTATGGTTTCCATCCATGTCATCCATCCTCTCGAGACCCTTTCCGCCATACACCAAAGCCGAAGCTCGACAGCGCAAAACAAACGCCCTTTAAAAGTTACGGGGTCTCCACACTTTTGCTTTCTCTTTATTCGTGCCCTGCGACTTTGCATATGCCAAGGAAGAGTTAGGCTTGAATGTTTCCTCAGATGCCTTTCTAAGTAACTCAACCACTACTTACTACAAAAACACATACTCCGAACGGCCATGCAATAATACTTTACCTATGCCACCCCCGACGCGTCCCTTAGCGCTCAGAGTGTACGCATATCGTTGGAAGCTTGACGTTGTCATCCCATCCCTCCCGAAGTAGGATGGTCACGTGAAGCCTTCCATAGACCTTTGATGCAGGACGGACCTATCCCGATCTTCAAAGGGATACTGTCAAGCACCGCCGAAAAGACAAGTACTCTGTTCGATTCCGGATCACGCCGCAATCCGGCTTCGATTCGCCACGTAGGGTCGACATTCAGTAACGTCCATTCCATGGCCGGAATGGGGTTGAGAACGTTGCGGATGATGGGATAATGGCCGTTGCGCTGGAGAATGTTCGCTGTCGTGTTGATTTGAGAGAGACGAACACGGGCGGGGATAGGTTTTCCTTCATGGTGTTGTTTCCGTTGCTTGGTTTCCATGGTCAAATGCTTTGCTCTGAGACAACGTTGCGGATCAGACTGGAGGGGATATTGGATACGCGAACTTCGTCATATTCATCAACAAAGGGGATACGAAGCTTTGCCTCAAGAGCCTACGGGGTCGGAGTGCTTAGTAGTATAATAAAAGTCGAGGTACTTGGAGCTCTTCTGTAGAATGTCGTGCATGCATTTGCTGACGGACGCTTGAACACTTCATCCCCAGTGTTGCAATAATACCAAGCGGACAAGCTTCGCAACGTTAAGCGCACTCCGACTCGGGCTCTAATTGTTAGCCACGAAACAATAGGAGTGTGGGAAGGGGTTAAAAAAAAAAAAGGAAGGAAAGCAGGGGCTGTCTTGCTGGTTAGGCAGGGTCTGCCCCGAGCTTGAGAAGCTGGCAGATGGCGAAAAATGCAGATCTCCTGACCGGAGACGTTGAAGCCCAATCAGCCTCGTATGTGGCTGGCAAACGGAAAAACGGAACGAGATTTGCCATGGGGCTTGCAGGAGGCTCTGCTCGGCTGTCTGGTTGTTGGGAGTCGGCGTCCGTGCGTTGCCGATCGGCTATGTTGCCCCATGATCCGTGCGCGACTGAACGCCAACACCGGCGCCGTTGAAAAAAACTTTACAATGCACGCAGATCCTCACAACAGACCTCTTGCACGCGGGCAAAAAGAAAAATGACCACGGCAGGGATCGAACCTGCAATCTCTTGATTCGTAGTCAAGCGCCTTGCCATTGGGCCACGCGGCCAGTGCAACTCAAACGAGCTGTTCTGCTTGGTTGTTGTTGAAACAAGAATCGCGGTATCTATTTATAACTCAGTATTGTCCATCATCTCTAGAGAGGGGAAGCATTCAGGGGCATAAGGGTCAGTTTCCTTCTGTGTTCGCCGTAGACTTGCCTACTGTGATCTTTTATGTGGGCAGTCGAAGCAGATATCCTAATGGAGATAGAGGTTCAGACAGCCTTTCCCCATGACCAGCTGCAGCAGATATCCGGACGTACATGTTAATACTAAAAACCGTACAAATGCACCCACTGTGAATCCCGAAACCCGATGCAGAAGCAATCGTGAACCGGAGGAGAAAGAGAACAAGATGCTCCGTTGGTAGGGCCGGACAGAACTAGGGCGGTAGTCACAGTGCCGAAGAGTGGTGGCCAAGTCCAGATTGGCGATTTGCGGTCACAAGGCGTCGGATTTTCTGGGGAAGACACATCGGAAAGTCAAGTGGCCAGGCGGATTTGTTGAAGTCGGTCAGATTCGGGATTGTCTCCACTCGGATCGTCGAGAGCGCCAGGTTCTCCATGATGGGATTCCTGGCAAAACTCCTGTGGGGATGGGGATGCACGTCATTCTTATGTCTGCCCTCGGTTCAGAGGCACGGAGGGTCCGCAGTCTTTGCGCCACGTTGTTCTACCGATGCCGACATGATTGGACCACGGGGCCGGGTCGATGAGGCTCAACCGCTGGTATGCATATCTGGTCGACCTGCGATGCGGAACCTGGGACCTGGGACACCAGACATCCGGAAAGAAGACGACCCAGACCTCATATGAAGATGGGTGTGCGCGTAGCAGCCGGGATCATACGTGCAGTCGGACCGGAGAGGAGTCTGGCAGTGGCAGCGATGGCGATTTCACGATGTATGACGGTGGAGGGCGTAATGGCGAGGCGTGCCCCCGCTGTTCTCCAGGCATGGGAATCTTGGAAAGAACTGGAGACCTGTCCTCCAGCTGTCTGGAGGGACCCCGGCGCCGATCGCGGCCCTGAGCTCCGGCCGGCGGGGAGCTGCGTGGA